CAAATTATTATTTTTTAAATTATAAGAGATAATAGCAATTTTCCAATAACAGAATACTGATGAAGTGGGAAGGGTGAATCACTTGCTAGAGTGATTCACATATTAAACCAACCTTATATTCCTGAACTAAATCCTACCTGGGATACTTGGAAATGTTGTAGTATTTTTAATATTTGCTCGGTTCATGTTAATAGCACAAATGTTATGAGCGGTATTTTTATACCTGTGAGATCTGCCTGTAATTTTTCTTTTTTATGGTGTCCTTATCAGATTTGGGCATAAATTTATGTTGATTTAATGAGTAAGTGACATTGTTTCCTCTTTTTCTATTTTCTGGTAAAGTTTGCATTAAATTGTATACTTGTTCCTGAAGTATTTAGTAGAACTCACTGGTAAAGCTCCCTGGGCCTCGAGTAGTCTCTGTTGAAAGATTTTCTTTCTATGTAATTTCTACTTAATAGCTGAGTGATTTCTCTGATATTATTTCTTCTTACTTTTTTTTTTTTTTTTTTTTTTGGTTTTGGTTTTTCTCTGGTACCAGGAACCGAACTCACAACCTTGCACTTGCCAGGCAGGCGCTTTTGCCGCTGAGCTAAATCCCCAGCCCCCTTCTTACTTTATTTTCATGGAAATTTAACTACTTCATTTAAGTTCTTAAATTTATTATGGTAAAGTTATTTTCAGCATCTTCATTTCCATATATATAACATCATGCTTATTTTAACTGTACGGATATATTTGTCAAGCAGATTTTCTTCATAACATCATCACAATGAATTTCAGAGAGTAGAATTACTAGAACCCAGGACATGGAAGAGCTCATAGATTTTACTAAGTAACTCTCTGTGAAGTTTAATACTACTAGTGGTATGGAACAATTTTTTATAGCTTCGGCCTTATATAGCATATACACATATCTCTTTTTACCCATTTTTTGTCAGTTTAATGCACTGAACATAATATTTTACTTAATTTTACTAGCATTTTAGAAGTCATTGGAAAGCTGAGCAATTTGTTTGCAAATTTTTACTATTTAGATATGTTTTGGTAAATTGACTGACATATTCTGTGGATTACATCATATTAATTTAAATGACTGTAGTGGATTGAGAACTGGTGGTCAATTTATAACCCCCAGCTCAACTGGGTGTGGAAGGCCCATGTGGGGATTGTTGCCAGCAATGTAAGAGGCAGAACTGGAGAAGTAGTAACGCTGTTGGGAGCTGGTAGAAGCTGTAAGGAGCTGTTGGTTCTGTTGGAGGAGCTCCTCATGCTGGCTTTCCTGATGAACTTGGCTGTTTTCATCCTCCGAGGAGCTCGGGACCTCTTTGGCACTGAGAATAGCTTTGGTTCACTTTGGGGAAGCTCTGGTCCTCACCTAGAACATCACTTCCTGGCTCCAGAGGGGTAGATTGTGCACTGCCAGTCTCCGGGAGAAGCTTGCTGCCCTAGCTTTTCTGATGGGAACTCAGCCATCCTGATCATTGGAGGAGCTCGGGACCTCACTGTTGCTGAGGATGGCTGTGGTACCTTTCATGGGAGCTCTGGTTCTTCTGAGCTTCACTTCCTGGCTCCAGTGTAGCACCCTCAGCCTGCTAGCACATATCCTTCATCCCGCTGGCACAGACTTTCTAGGTTCCACCACTGATCTCTGGGCCTTCCCAGCACAGATCCGTGAAACAGGCCTGCATGATATGTTGTCATGGGCTCTGGGCCTCCAGTTGGATTCATGGGAGGCATTGCTATGAGCTCTAGGTATTCAGCTGGACTCATGTAGGACATTTTCGTAGGATCCAGGCCCTCAGCAGGATTCCTTGGTCTTGGTGTGTGGACAGATTTCCTGCACATTTTGTATAGTGTTCTTTGGGTGATTATTATAAATAATGATATAAAATATGTGTCCTGTATTATGTATTGTTTCCCCTTGCAAAAATATCCCCCAAACCAACACAATGACTAAACAGGCAAAATCTTTTTTCTTTTTTTTGCAGGAGGGATGTACCAGGAATTGAACTCAGGACCTTGTGCTTGTCAGGCAGGCGCTTGTGCCACTGAGCTATATCCCTGGCCCTTAAATAGGCAAAATTTGCAAATAGAAAAATGTCAGTTACTTTTGGCCAAGCAGTGTTACTAACAGGATATAGTATTCGTTCTTATTTAAAATACTACAAGTTGTACATTTTTAAAGTGTGGGTGAATGTAACAAACTTGTGTTGCTGGCTATTTCACGTAACTCTTTATCAATTCTATTCATAGTAATCTATTCCTATAACCAATATGGAAAGTAAAACAAAAGGCTACATATAAATATTTGCCAAATTATTATGTGAGTTAATATCATTATGATTATCAAGTTGTTTCTTTAAAGTAAAATTGCCTACTCTAAAATAAATTTAAAAATTAACACTTAACTGGTGCTCTCAATGCAGATCTTAGAAAGTTAAGTTGTTGTTGAAAACATTTTTAAAAATTGATACATACATCAACAGATACATCATTATCAGCATTTGGCTGATACTGGAGTTGGATAATGTTGAAAACATGTATACTAATTTACAAAGCAATCTAGTTTCTTCCTAATTACATCAATTTTTTTAAACTAATTTTAAAAAAAAAATTCAATTTTCAAATAATTCCTTTAATAGATACTAGAATGTTATGAAGTTAGAACCCAGTGGAGTACGCATGAATAAAATGTTGGAAATGTGCAGCTTAATTATGAAACTGCCATCATAGGGACCCTTATTATGGCCTCTTGAGAAACACAAGTCAACATTATGAGGATACGTTTAAAATTATATCAATGACCTTGAATTGTTTTTTAAGTGTGTGTTCTAAATTAAGGCATATGTGTCACTAAATATGTGCTGATAAACTCCAAGGAGAATTTCTTAGCACTATTGTTTCTTCATTTAATGTTTTTATTTTTGTAGTCTCTCTCTCTACTGGGAGTACTACGGATTAAAACTTGGCAGTGAAATACCTCCTTCAGGCTTTTGTACTTTTTATTTTGAGACAAGGTCTCACTAAATTGCTAGATTGTCCAGGCTGGGCTGAACTTGTGATTCTCCCATCTCAGCCTCTCAGAGTGCTGGGATTATAGGCATTCGCCATCACACTGGCTATTTTCGTAGACTTTGTAGTAACATTGCCTTTTCTATTATTCAATTTTGATTTTTTAAAATCTTGTGGTTTATTATTGCCTTGTGAAGTAGCCTAGAATGGTGGTTATAAACTTGGACCTCAGAATCAGACCACACTCCATTCAGTAGGATTTCATCAACTGCTAGTTGTAAGAAACAGCAGTCTTAATACAAATCCACGTTTTCTTGCTTTGTCACATAATAGTTATTTGCTACCTCAAAATGCTGCTGTGAAGATTAAAAGATAATAAACGTGCAAAATGTTCCTTTTTTCATAAAAAAGGAACAACCTACCTAGTGACTTAGAACATAAGACCAAGACATTTTATATGGCTTTCTTCCTTCTCTCTCCTGCCCTAATGTTGCAAGTCCTGCCAATTTACGTGCCTACAACTTCTACATACTCATTTCCCACTTTCCCAACTAATAAATCCTCACCATCACCCTTTACACTGTTTTCATCAATAATTCCTCATCTGTCTCTTTACTGCTGCCCCTCCAACTCATTCTCCAGGAAAATGACATTTCCAAACATGGAACAAAATATTTCAGAAACCTAGTATGCAAACATGTAGCCAGGACTCCCCATTACTTTCCGAATAAAGTCCAAACTCCTTGGCAAGATTCCCAAAGCTGTCCGCTGTCTGGCTTTTAGTTGCATTCCAGCTTCAGCAATTATTTTCTTCCATTCCATCTCTAAATGCTTTTCATCCATCGTATCTGTCTGCTGGTTTGAAAACTTAGTGAGCTGTTTTGTAGTTCCATAGCTTTCCTCAAGTTTATCTCTTATTTTTATGACTCAGTCCCAGGAACATTTTCTCTGACTTATTTCCCTATTTTATTCCTTTTCCCTTCCCTATCCATCTCATCTATGCTCTCACTATAGCCTGTACAAACATATATTTGTATGATAGCACCTGGTGTCCTTGTTTGTATATTTGCTACTATTGTACTCTGAGTTGTATCCTTAGCATCAAATAAAATAATAAGCACAAAAGTTCATTGAATAAATGATGAAAATTTAATGGTACTCTAAAACCAATTTTACTGTGCTGGTTTATTAAACGATTAACAGAAAATTGTATGCATTTCTCTACCAGCCACTCCAAGATATTTACAGTTATGTGCTTTCCGTATTTTTTTTGTATTTTGCAAGTAAATCTAGCATATGGCCTCTAGTGGCTTCTTCATTCTAGAGCTATTTTACAAAGTAAAGAAAACCTGGAGGGAAAAACAGCTGTTGAAATATCAAATCCTCCCTTCTTATTCTTCATTTTTTAATGCCTTGGACTCATATATAGACATATAAAATCATCCATTATTCTCTACAGTGTATAAAGGTCCTCATTCTAAACAGTATCTTTACAGATAAAGTAACATGAATTATAATGTTGCTGGAAGATTGGCAAAGAAATCAACCCAAAAATCGTGCAATGGATTTATTATTCTTAACAAAGGGTTTGGCAGTCATATTTTGATATCATCTGAAGTCTCACTTTAAGCAAATTTTATTATCCTGGGGAAAACTATCATTTTGTTGTTCTAAAATGCTATGATTTCCAAATCAGACTGGATAAAGCCCTCTCAAAGCAAGTTTCAGAAGGTCATTATGCTAAATAAAATATGCCAGGCTCAGAAAGATAAGTTGTACATGATCTCACTTATATGTGGAATATTAAAAAAAAACTGCCCTGATAGACATTTAGAGTAGAATGATGATTACTGGAAACTGGGGCTGGGAAGAGTAGGGGTGCGTAGGGAAGAGTAGGGGTGCGTAGGGAAGAGTTGACCAATGGTGTCTTAGTTGCTTTGTCATTGCTGGGACAAAACACTCAACACCCACAATTTAAAGGAGGAAAGGTTTATTTTAGCTCATGGTTTATAGAGGTTTCTGTCCATCTTCGGTGTTCCAAAGGGGGATGGCAGAGGGGAAAGAGGATGGCGTGGAATGGCAGGCAAAAGGTGGTAAGCAGCGAGCCTCCCTTTCCCTTTTATTCTGTCCAGGCTAGGAGCCTTTTGGATTTTGCCTCCCATACCAAGTGTGGGCCTTCCCATTATCCACCCCCAGAACTGTGCTAAGCCATTCAGTGCACAGCTGGGTTGGGGCCAGCACACCCTGATAGATAGATGAATGAAAAACATGAGAGACCGAGAATACCTTTGTTGGGAGTCCAGGTGACTTTACCACAAAGGAGTGAATGTCTGAAATGAGTGAAACCCTCAGATTTACTGAGGAATAACAAAGGCACAGAGTTCTGCTGAGCACAGAGGTTTGTTTTAGGTAGCAAGGCAGGCAAGCAAGGCAGGGTGACAGTTTGGCTGAATAATTAACTTACCTGATTTTCCCCAGGAGCTTCCTTGTTTTCGCCTTAAGGGCCATCTCTGTGCGAATTAGCAAAACATCTCATCTTCAAGATGTTTTGGCTCCTCAGAGTTAGCAGTCTTCTACCTCCTGAATCAACCCAAGCAGACATTGACACATGGGGCATTACAAGGAACTCCACAATGGACTAATTTAGTGAACACACACCCTTAATCCATATTCACCCACCCTAAATCTGCCACCTCTAAAACTGTCCACCTATGAGTGCATGACGCTTTAGGGGGCCATCTAGCTACAAATCATAGGAAAGGAGTGCTAAATTATAAAACTGTGGTGTGCTATATTGCACAGTAGGGTGACTATCAATATAGATAATGTACCGTACAGAGTGATATTTCAGTTCATGAACTTCATTTTTTGCCACAATTCTGGTCACAAACCAAATTGGACAAGAACTAAATCAAATTTCCCCCTAAGGTCAACACTGAATTTGATTTGGTGCTCATCCAATTCAGTTTGTGATGAAAATCATGGGAAGAATTAAGTTTGTGAACTGAGATACCCCTGTACTTCAAGTAGCTAGGATTCTGCCTGTTTTTACTATTTAAAAAAATGATAGTCTGTTTAACTTGATTTAAACATTACACAAAATATATGTGATGATTAAACTTGGCTGGCCATCTTGACTGGCTTGGGAGCTCCCTAAGGGATCACTAAAACATTTCAGGATGCGTCTGGGTAGGTCTGAGGGTGTGACCCTGGGGACTATACCTGCTTCCAGGTCCTATCCTCTCTGACTCTCTTCTCCTGTGCTCCACTTCCTGGTTACCAGGCTGTGAGCAGCTTTGCTCCATCATGCTTTTTCACATGTTCCTGCCATGGAGCCAGGTGACCATGGCCTGAACCTCTGAAACTGTGAGCCAAAATAAACCTTTTTTTCTTTAGGTTGCAACTGTCAGGCATTTTATCTCAGCAATAAGAAAGCTGATCAATACAGGATAGATGTACAGAAATATTACATGATACACACCCTTGATACACAATTTTTATGTTTTTATGTATTAAAAAACAGATTTAATTCTGAAGTGTTCCAAAACAAAAACCTGAATCCATTCTGCATTGATGTTTCTGAGCCACTCTGAAAGACAGCTGACCTGGATTTCTGTGTTGAAATAGGTTTATGATATCCTAAAAGTATTTTTAAGTCATTAAATAAAAATTGTCACTCATCATCTGGAAATAGCTCATATAAGCGTCTATATTTAAAAACACAAAGGAGAATCTCAGGGGTGATGAATCAGCAAGAAGTATCTGGAAACATGATTTCAATGGCTGTCTCTTAAATATCTTTTGTGTGCTAGGAAACAGATGTGACCAAAAAGTGCTGGCCCTCAAGGAGATAATACTCTGAAAGGGATGATCAGTAAATTACAATAAAATGAGTGCTGTGACATGCCTGTAGAGTACTTAATGAGAACTGAAGTCTATGCTTATATTGTATTTGCATTCAAAACAGAAAAAAAAATATTTTAAATGAGCATTTTTAATGGGTACTGTTGCTTGCCTATACCGGGAGCAAGCAAGAAGTGTCTTGCCCAGTGCAGATAGCTGTATGAATGTGTGCTTTGTCTAGATCTTTGTGAAAACTACCAAATACTAGTTATCATGACTGAATTCACTTTTATGTAAAGGTAACTTACCTATCTTGCTTCCTAAAGCAAACACTGTCCAACTGTGGGAGTTACATACAATCTTCTAGGCCTTCTGCTCAGTGGAAATGGAAAGAAGTCTTTGCAGTTAGGCCTGAAAGAATGGTTTCATTCTAGTCTTGCCTTCATTTCGCTTCTTTTGGGAAAACTTTTCTGGATGACTTTGTGTATTCTACTAGAGCAGTGATGGTGAACACTTTAGAGCTTGCAATGATAACAAACAGCCCACTGCACATGCATGCCATAAGTTTGCCACCACTGCAATAAGAGTCTTTTTTCATTTTTTTTCTTTTTAGTATTTGTAGCATGTCCTCGCATTTTATGACTATGTTCAAATTTTACTCTATCACATATGCCTGGAATGGGCTCTGTAAAATGGAGACAAACTTCTTAAGCTGAAGTTAGGACCCCTTTTAATGGAAGAATTATTTCCCATTTTTAGTCTAAATTAAAATTAAATCCCCTACCAGGAAGAAGCATACATGCTAGACATTTTCTAGATATCTAAGACCATTAAATATTTTCTCTATTTCTGGTTACAGTCATTCAAAACTATTTCATACACAGCTATTGAAACCCAACATTATGTAGGACAGTTTTTCTTTAAAGAGGTTCACAGATATTCTTGCAGATACAACATTCTGTAAGAAACTGAAAAAAAAAAAATCCACAGAATAAAATTTATTTGTTTAATCCAATGTTTCCCAAACTGTGGTTCACATATATTCTTGGGTGCCTATAACAATTCTCTTTAAAAAGATTTGTGCATTGTCAAATCTGAGAATCATTTATATTTTATACCTGCTTCAAAAGTGGGTAACATTAGGAGAGATTCTGCTTTTTTGTCTCCAGACTTATTTTCTTCTATTAATGTATTTTTGAAAACAAGACGAAAGTTGTAAACCCTCTCTCCTAGAAAACTGAAGAAGACAGAGATTTTTGCTGGAAGACACTGAGGGCAAACACCCCAGATTAAGAGCCGTAAGAATTCACACTAACCTAACACAAGAGATTTTGTATTCATTCTGGGCCTTGTGATACAGTATTTCTCTTCTTACCAAGATGAAGTATCTCTGAAAAATGTGATTCCATAATTTCTGCCAGGTATCCTTGGACAGTGTTTTCTGTGGAAGAAGAGGGAGATAATATGAAAAAAAAAAATGTAGGAAGTACTATATACCACGGTCTACACTGGATTGAAACACATGAAACTGTGATCTTGTAGGCAATTTCATATGGTTCAAAGTAATAGCACTTGATTGCATTAATAAAATTAATGTCTGCAGCTATTTTCTTCTCCCTTTACTTTTCTATCCATTATCTTGCTGAACAGAATTCATTTTGAACTCATATTGTCACCAATAAATATATCAGCAATTATAGTCAAAAACCAAGTGTTACGGAAAATTAAGCATTTGCTTTGAATAAATCAGACACTAAGACACCAACCATAATTGAGTCTGACAGTGCCAAATCATGTCTGAGATAAATACATAATCAGATATTTGCAAGAGTTGTGGAAAGGGCAGAGAACAAATGTGTTCCAGCACTCCTAGATGTCATGGGAGCACAAAATAAAAGGCTCAAAGAGGCCCAATACGAGGTTTTGCATACTGTTCTGGTTATTGGTACTAAGAACACTGATTCATCTCTACCTTTCGAACACTACAGAGCACAATCACCTATCACATTTTAATACTCTACACTAATAGATTTTATGTCTTTGTATTTGTCCTATTTGAGTCATATCTCTTGATAAATACAATCTCTGGCCCATCCATCCCCAGTACAAATGAAAAGCTTTCACTACATGAGCAAGGTCAATTTGTTCTATTTGATGGATGGAATGATGTGACTATAAGGTACTGAACAACCAAATTCTGCCTAACAATTAGGCTTTTTCTACTAGCCTTCAAAAATATACATGAATAAATGAATATAAATTATACAGCTATGCATATAATTTCTATTGAATGTGCAGAAGAGAATGTTTAATATTTTTCTTCATCGCCTGTTTTCATTAAACATTTTATCATATGTACCTTGTTTCCAGGACACTAAATAACTGTTCATATCTAATTCACTAATAATGAAAATTTAGGCATTTGGCGGAGAATCAAAAATAAGATGCAATGTCATTACTGACAGTAGTTTTTTAAAAGTATTTTGATAGTATTAAGAAAGTATTTTTTCAATTTAATTTTCAGTCACAGTGTAATAAATGTTACTTTGGTTTTCTAGAATATGACTTCATATAATCCATATACATAGGAGGTATCATTCATATCCTAATTTATATCCACACATACTTAGGATCAGGATAGGTCACAGAATGATTAAGATTAGACTTCTGAGATATTGGCAAAACTGCAGAAAAGGACACAAATGTACGGGTTTTTTCTCTTTGATCCTGAAAGCACTAAATTATAGTGTAACTGCAACATTACCTTATCATCATCATATTCTCATGAATATAGTCCTCTATTTTGAAAGTATTTTCCACCTGTTATTCAACTAAAAGCATCTAATTTACATATTAAGATTTCAGAGCTTATGATCAGTGGTAAGCATACATCAGAACAAATATTTTATAAACACACAAATATTTTATACACAATTTATTCTACGTGTTAATCTAGCTTTTTAACTTTCTAAAGGATCTCATATCTAGCAAAATACTGTACTTTCCCAAACAACTGTAGAAGCGCATGAGTATTTTTAAAATTACTATGAGTATGTGTAGATAGTGTCCTAACAATTTTTTTTTTTTTTTCTGGTCATTTTGAGACAGAGTCTTGCTATGCAGCTCAGGCTGGCCTTTAGCTCATTTTGTAGCCCAGGCTGGTCTTGAACTCACAACAATCCTCCTGCCTCAGCCTCCCCAGTGCTGGGATTACGGGCGTGTGTGTGTGTGTGTGTCCATTTAAACTACCCTAAGACCTTAGCTAAACAGATTGGGAAAGAGTGACAATAAACAAATACGGAATTATTTCTCCTCTTTTGCTTATATTCCAAATAGAAGATTCAGAGGTGGGACTGCCTTTTCTACAACAGAAATAATTCAATGATGGAAAGTTGTGTAGAAAACTAAAAAACATTAGGTTCAGTTAAACATATTGTCCTAAAATTTACAAAGTAAATTCATAAAGTTAAACTCAAATGCCAGCTGCTCCTATTGAAAGATGCACATAAATGATACATCACATTTGGGATTCTCCAAACAGTATGCTATTTTGTGAAACCTTGATTTTAAAAAAAACTAAGACTTTTACTACTTGGAGATCTTAAATACTACTTCATATTTATTAATTAGTTTAAAATTCCAATAAACTGGAACTTGGACTTTACTCATTTCTTACACACCAAATGGCCTCAAGTTTTAAAAATGTACTTGGTGTTCACCAGCTCTAACCAAGCCAATAAAAAAAAGGTAGGATGGAAAGTAGCGGGGGTGGGAAGTGACAAATCAGAATGTGAGTGGGAAAGTGGCGAATGAGTAAGCACACTATAGACAAGTTATCTGCTAGGGCTTAGATCTAGAGTGTCTGCCAAATGCCTCGTGTTCAGAAGTGCCACTCAGGAAAATGACTGGACTATGCAGGTGATGGAGCTGACCTGCTATTCCGAGGAGGGTCTGTGCAGCAGAGGCAGGTCCCCGGGTGTGATGTGGGAGAATCTCCCTCCCTTCTGCCTCCTGGCCCACAGGATAGGAGCAGCTCTCCCCTGCGGCAGGCCCTTCCGTGATGCCATTTCTGCATCAGAGTCTTCCAATGAGGGACTAAAACTTCTGAAACTGGAAGCCAAAATCTCTCTCCTCCTTTACGTGGCGAGTTGTCAGGTATCGTGTCTCAGCAAGGAGGAAAGTGACTAATCACTATGGACCTATCTTTCTGTAAAAGGAAGGAGTTATTCATCTTAATAAACCAAATATATTAGCATAGGAAGCAATTTTAATTCTACCTGTAGACATGAAAAGGCAACTATTTATATGTAACTAGGTGAAGTTTCTTATCATAAGTAAAAGAACAATATAAAAATTCTCTATTCAAAGAAAAACTGCACACACCAAATTCTAAGTACTTACCTTTGCATCATCTAAGTTTAGGAATATGTGACCGTATGATTTTAAAAGCAACGTAAGATTGAAGTGGGGATAATTACCCAATTTTTTTTTCAGTTAGTGTCTTAGTCTATGTTTACAGCTGTAACAAAATCCATACACTGTATAGTTTATAAACCACAGAAATGTACTTTTCACAGTTCTCAAGGCTGGGAAATCCAACATGGAGATGCCAGCTTGTCTGGTATCTGAAGAGGGATGCTCTTTGCTTCCAAGGTACCTTTTTGCTGCACCCTTTAGAGCGGAGGAACATGAGACCTTAGAATCTAGTTTCCTGCAGTCATTTAGTAAAACACTAACCCATTGATGAGAGGGAAGCACCATGATCTGAGCACATCCCCAAGAGCCCAACTCAGCACCACCACAACGGGGTTTAAGTTTAAGCACACGAATTTCGAACGGAACAGGTTAAAACGATGACAACTGGCTCCCTCAAACTCCAAAGGACAATGCAGTTGACAAAGTATATCTCCAAGACAAAAATATAGCAAGTGAGAGGCTAAAGATATTTTGTAGCTATGGTAATATGTTTGCCCTAAAGTATTTGCACACTAAGAGTAAGCCCTGCAGTTAGCTACCTGGGTTAGTTATCAACTATTAAATTCAAATTTGAAAATAAATACCTAAGAATGTTAATTTTTAACACAGTTTCCCAGGGTATTTCTAGGAACCTCCAAGTTCAAAAGCCCTGAACTAAATATAGAAAGGAAGAAAAATCGGGATTAAGTGATAAAATTTAAGTGAAAGCAGGTATTGAATGGTACAATTCAACTCTCTATTTCTTTAGACACTAAATATCCTGTGTCAGATGGCCAGCATGACTTAGAGAAATTACAAAGGGTGTGGGGAGTTTTCCAGTGTTTTTAGATATAATTGCATTAAATTCTACAACAGAATACAAACCAAAAAAACTTCTGTTTACCATAAACTATGAAGGTAACTCATAAAGAGAAGCAGCAAACACATTCCAAGAAAGAATAACGAAGAACTCGCACACACGGCAAAGTCACGGCTTCCCCGGGCAGAGCTTCTCAACTTGTGTACTATGGATCGTCCAGTCCTCGGTGCACAGGGAGGCAAAGTGACACTAATACGATCAGAACACACTGGCTTGTGACGAACGGTCTCCAAATCCATTCAGTACGCCAAACATTATTTTCTAAGTGTGCAAGGAATGAAAAATTAGGAAGCGCCAACTTAATGGAACATGTTAATCTAGGAAGCAAGAAAGCTAGATTCAACTCCTTATCATCTCAACGCATAAGTGACCTTAATTGAATCACTGAGCCTCCTAGGAACCCTTAGCTAGGCTCCTTGTTTATTAAATGACACACAGTTTAGGTGACTCTGAAAGCCTCTTCTGGTTCTAAAGTTCTGGAATTTCCTTTACACTTACAATCAAAGACATAAAAATATTAGTCACCATTTAACAAAAAACTCAAATTCATTCATTCAGTAAATATTTATTAAGCATCTAATCCGTGCCAAGCATGTAAAAATATGTGAGACAGAAGACAATGATCCCTCAATACACCTTAGCGTTAAAGTTGTTAAATAGCAAAGCTTTCAGAATAGTACGTAAACAACTGGAACTCTGCATAGATAATGGAAAACTACAAATAATTCATTAATATTAACTTTAACTAGAGACTCTGCCAATATATAGTTTTTCTCCTCTATACTTTTCACTCTTTTTTTTAAAAAAAGGGGGTTAGGGTTAATTACTGCTACATGACACCACAGTAAAAATAAATTCTGAAAGTGTAAGATTATAAAAATAGTTTACAGACTCTTAATAGGGCTTCAACATCTTGTTTTTCAGATTTTACCAGAAAAGGCAATCAACATTCAATACAGTTTAATCCATGATGGAACCTGCTCCATGTCCATTACCATATATACTGTTTTATGGGTGGGAGTACAGGAAAGCATGATTCAAAGTTGTAATTAAATACAGTATTACATAATTGGATTTACTTCCAAGAATTCGAGCTAAAATTTTCATATGAATACAATTTCACAAAAGTTACAAATATATATCAACTTACAACTGAATCATTTAATATTTTACAGTGTTTGTAAAAATCTAGCTCTGTAATTACTTTTCTTTTAAAAAAGCAAAAAACAAAAACCTTACATATATACTAGGAAAAGTCCATCGTTCTCTGGAAATGATGCATGCCCCTAATAGTAAGGTCCAAAATGAGAAGCACTACTATCTCCAGGAGAGGGTGGGGGAGGCGGCGGTGGAGGAGGAGGAGGCGGAGGCAGGGAGTACGGTAAGTTGAGCATTGGATGAGGTGCCATGTTGGCTGCAGCCCAACCCATGTTCACAGATGGGGGCGGCGGTAGTGGTGGCGGGAGTGAAAAGTTATGCATGTCAAACACTGGAGGAGGAAAGGGATACTGTGGCATCACAGGACCGTCTTGTCCCTGTGGTGGAAATCCCGAAGTCTCCTGAGATACCATATGTCCTGAGTTATAGAAGTGCTGAGGTGGAGGCCTGCTGTGGCCAGGTCGAGGGTATCTGCCCCTGGAAAATCCTCGTGAGAAATGTCTGCTGTGATAGACTTTTGAATGCTCTGTAGAGCTATAAGCATTCCAATTCTGATGTACTTCAGCAAAATCTTCACCTTTGAGAGGGGGAAAAAATACATCAAAGCAAAATTACAATTAGGTGTACTATGTCAAAAAAGCAATGTCAAAAATTTTAATAATGCCTTTTCTTTAATTACTAATATAAGGCTGTTTAAAATAAACAAATTGAAAAGGCAAACTTAAAGCTAAAGATCAGGAAAAAGCCTAGCAAGACAGAAAACATTTTAGAAAATAACTCCAGCCAAATACCATAGAGAAAAAACTGCAGCACCATCACTAGCTACCCTCCCAAAGGCTGCAAGCCTGGACTTCTACCAGCAAAGGCCTGGATGAGGTGCCCAGCACTCCCACCACCAGGGCTGTGAGCAGGGTGAGCCAGGTGCCAGTAACAAGGCCTCCTGGCAACAATAGTGAGGAGAACATGGAAACCTAAGCTTGTACTTTTACCAGCAGCTGCATGCTTTCTCCCCTCGTGCACTGGGGTCATGTCAGTGAGGACTAAAGCCTTCCCCACTGCTCTGTGTTAAAGAGGCCAAGCTCTGCTGGTGTCAGAGGACAGTGGCTCCTGCCTGACCTGGTGGGAGTCATAACATCTATCCTTGCGCAGCAGTAACGGGACATCGCTTATCCTGCAGTATCAGTAAGAGGGAAGCTGGACTTCAGTTCACCCTCTCCCTCTCGAAACAGTATAGTATGTGAAAAACAAACCAACCTGTTCTAAGCAGACTTATATATGCTCTGAGGTCTTATAACAAACAAAACAACCACATTTTAACAAAAACTGACTCAACATAAAGCAAATAGATTTCAAACTCAGTGAAAGAAAAAAATCAACCAAGGCAACATGAAGATGTTAGAATTAACTAAGAAAGATAATGTAGTCATATGCTTCAACAAGAAATTATGAACACTACAAAATGAAAATTACAACATCTCAGATAAAAACAGAAGAAAAACAGACATTTTAGGAATGAACAACATAATAATCAAAATTACACACTCAGATGAACAATACCAAGAACAACGCTGGAGGGCTGATATACCTGACTTTAAGTCTTACCAATGGTAGTAACAGTGAAATACTGGTGAGAGAAAACACAAACAGACAAACGGGACAGGACAGAGCCCAGAACCAGACCCACAAAATATAACCCACAGCTCTCTGACAAGGAAGGGAAGTTATGTAATGAGGCAAAGGTGGTTTCTCAACAATTGTTGCTGGAACAACTGGAGCTCCATATGCAAAAAAGAATCTAGACTCAAGCCTTACCCCTTTACAAGAACTCAAACTGTATCACAAACCTAAATATAAAATGCAAAATTATAAACCTCCTCAAGAGTTTTATAGGGGAAGAGGTAGATGACCTTGTGTTCATGGTAACTTTTAAGACAGGACATCAAAGACATTACTTAAAAAGAATTGATAAACTGAATTTCATTAAAATTAACAGTTTATGTTCAGTGAAAGATACTGGCAAGGCAATGAAAACAAAAGCAACTGTCTGAGAGAAAATATCCGTAAAGACATAAAAAACTACTGCAAAAATACACAAAGACCCCTTAAAACTAGTAAGAAAAAAATCTGATGAAAAATGGGCCAAAGAATTTGGGCTCTCAGCAAGGAAGAGACACTGATGGTGACAAGCACATGAACAGATGTCCTATGTCACGCCATCAGGGAAATGTAAAGGAAAACAATGAGATGCCACTGCTCACCTAGAGAGCTACTGAAATTCCTGTAAAAATCCCAGAAAAACCTTTTGCTGTCACAGAGAAGATAATTCTGAAATGTATATACTGAAGGCAAAAGAACTAGAATAGCTAAAATAATTTTGAAAAAAACAGTAAGGTACCAGCTATCCTTCTCTCCAATTTCAAGACCTGCTATATAACTACAATAATCAACACTGCTTTACAGACACATCTTTCAGTGAAATAAAATCCAGAACTCAGAAATAGGTCAACACAAATACAGCACTGACTTCTGACTAAGGTTATAAAGCAATTCATTTTAGGAAATATAGCTTTTACACAAATGATACAGAAATATTTACATATTTATATGCAAAAGAGTGACCACTGATCAAAACTTCTCATCCTATTGAAAATTTAACTTAAAATGGATCATGGCTGTAAAATGCACAACAAAAGCTTACAAAAAGCTTCAGTGGAAAAAGATAAAACAGGATCCATAGGTAGGCAGAAAGTATTAGATTTCATAAAAAGAAAGCTGAAGGGGCTGGGGATTTAGCTCAGTGGCACAGCACCTGCCTGGCAAGTGCAAGGTTGTGAGTTCGATTCCCGGTACCAGAAAGAAAAAAAAAAAAACCATAAAAAGAAAGCTGATAAACTGGGTTTCCTTAATTTTTTTTTCTGCAAGAAACCTTCTTAAGAGAATGCTTATCTGAAAGAAGTTATATAGAAACCACATGTCTTACAGAGGACCAGTATCTAAAACATATTTTTAATAAAAGAAATACAATCAGAAAATGCAAAACACATATGAAAACAAACATCTTTAGAGAAGATACACAGGAACAGAGCAGATGAACACAAGAAGAGATGCTCAGTATCGCTAGCCACTAGGAAAATGCAAATGAAACCCACAATTAGGTATCACTCACTACATACAGAAAATCTAATGGCAACATCTAAAGCTGGTGAGAATAGAAAGAAACTGAGTCACCTGGATACAGCTGATGAGAACGTAAAATAATATGGCCCTGGAGGAAAACCAGCACAGAAGCTGACAAAATTAAGGTTGCGATGCAATGTCATACAATGCAGTAACTGCACGCTTGCCTATTCGTGCCAGAGAAATGCCAATTAGTTTTTACACACAAAAAACTGTACATTAATATTTACAGCAGCTTTATTCTTAAATTGCAGAAAATGGAAACAAATTAGATGTCCTTAAGGGTTAACAATCCGTGGCACACTCCCACCATGAAACAGCACTGTGTAGTAAAAAGGAACACACTACTAGTACGTGCAACCTGCGTGGATCTCCACAAAGTATGCTCGGGGGCAAAAGCAAATCCCCAGTCGTAGCATATGCGTGACTTCATTATGTAACATTGTTTCATTAAAAAGAAAAAGTTAGTATTTTTTACTGGAATATGTATGCAACACACAAAATTGACACTTGTTCTGGGGGATTGGTACATATATTAATTATTTTTCATCCCCTTTCTTGAAATGACAAAGTATAATAGGGAAATGGAGAACAGACAGGTGGCGGACCCAAGCTGACAGAGTACAGAAGAAAATGAGCAGAGGCAGCAAGCACGCAACTTGCGGTGACGGAAACTTTACCCATCCTGAACGTATCAGTGCCAGTGGTCCTGACTGTGATGCTGTATTTTTAAGTTCTGCAAGCTGTTGCAAGTGGAGCGAAGAGGGTAAAGGGCACACAGCACCTCTTCTACTGTTTCTTACACTGTATGTGAATTTACAATTACCTCGCAAAAAGTTTGGAAATATTAGGAAAAGTCTGATAAAAAGGAACATAGGTTAAAACAAAACAACCCCCGCATGATGTGGGATATTAAGCAGTACACACGATTAAATTCGAACACGCAAAAAGGTTTCTTCAGGTAAAAGTGCTGATACGCACAAACAACCCAAACAAGGCCTTGCTTGTCTGTTACTCCTGGAAGACATTTTACAGCCTTAGTCTCATAAACCACCACTGCCTCTTATTCGCAATTCTCCCCTACCAACTCTCGTGCTGTGTTACCACCTCCCATGCTAGCCAGATGTGAGATAAAAGCGCCCCAGACGTTCTCTGCGGTTTTATTACTGATAAGGTCACACAGATAGAAATGAAGATGAAGGATAACTATATACTGCATTCACTCACCTGGCTCACTAAATTCGGATTTTAGTTTCTTCCGACCTTGAATCTGAGATTTTTTCCTCTGTTTGGCTTCTTTTTCTTTTTCATCATCACTGAAATCTAATGCCTTGCAGATAAAAGTATACAGATTGTGTTACACAGACTTGCAATTCCATAGTACATACTCTGGGGTGGGAATAAATCTGTTCTTTACCAACTGACATGGAAAACCATTTGCCTGTTTCAATACTTACTATTACCTATGAATACCTGAGTTAATTATATGAAGTCTGATCAGCAAACACAGAGCACATTAAATTTAAGAAAAAACTTCTTAGGCACCAGGGATGTAGTGGCACAGCGCCTGCCTGGCAAGTGCAAGGCTGTGAGTTCAATTCCCAGTACCAAAAATAAAAATACAAAATAAATAACAAATAAATAAATAAATAAATAAAACCTTCTTAGAGTAAAAGGCACATTACCACTAACCCCCTCTATATATTCCTCCTTGCCTTGAACACACTTCTCCCACTGCTCTCAAAACTCTGCTCCCTCTTTTCTAGTTTTATAAGGTGTGATCAAAAATACAGTGAATGCTGCTGGAGCATGCCATCTGACATGGCTCATAAAAAGCTTACAGTGTGTCCTCATCTACTTTATTCACCCAGTCTGCCGTGTGACTGTGGCTCTGCCTCAAAGTGAAAATGACCGGGAAAGGTAACTGCTTTCAGTCTGTTCAGGAAAGAGGCCATGACAGCACAAATGAAGACAATCCCAAAGGACGACTTCCAGAAGTGCTTTGGAAAGCGGCAATCCTCACAGTAAAGGGGAACATTTTGAGGAGACTATTGGCAGTGTGTCTTTCACGTCAATACAATTTTTCTAATTAAAAAATTCACTCTATTTCTGACCACGCTTCACAGATGTTAAAATAGTGGAGGTTTTTTCAAAAATGCCTAGTGTGTCTTCATAACATAGGCCATTAATCAAGCCAAGCAATCCAGGTTTGATTTCATCTCTTAATTCATAGAAAGTTTCAAATCAGTAGCTTTAAAATGCCAATATTTAACAATCTCCAGATATGGGCATTCCTGGTTAGAAGACTGACCTCCCCACATTGATCATTAACACCAGCTGCCAAAGAAAGCAGTTAAGATTAAGCGTATTTCATATACCGCTGCATTCAATATAGAAGTAAAAAAACCTTATTCTATGAGTCGTTCACCCCAAAACATACACATACCCATTATATGCCAGCCTTGTTCTACACTCTTCACAGGATTAATTCTTTACAGGGATACAATATTAATTCCTCTTATAATTTAACTTCAGATATATAGTAAGGCCTATAAATAAAGGGAAAGTAACAATATAAAAAATCATGGGGATGCTTTACAGTCTGGACTGAGGAAGAGGGCTCTCATAAGCAGATGTATGAGGCAAGTTCTATGAGGACATCACACTAGATTAGAAATATAAAATCCACTGTAACTAAGAACTGGGCTTCACTGTTATGGCCTACTAGAAAGGCTTCATGAGCTCTACGACTGGCACCACGTCTTATATTCCAGGTACTGTATTTTTTCATTAACATTGGAAAAGAGATATGCTTCATATAAAGGCTTACTGTTAAAGCCTTTTTATTCTTTTATATTTAAAAGAATAAATATAAAAGTCTATGCATGGAATTTTCAGTATGGCCTAAATGAAATACACTCTAGATCAAATCCTCCATAAGCTAGCAGTCCACAAACCTCAGAACCTATACTTACATTTTTAAATGTCAACTAATATTAGTGTTTTCAAGTGCCTGATGTTTTTACTACTGATCTTAATGTACTAAGATTTTTTTAACTTGGGTAAAATGTGGGATCTGCTAGACACTAGAAAACACAGAGATCAGACAGAAGACATTTTCTTTGAATTGCTCAGTCAAGTGGAAAAACAGACAAACCAATGATATAATGAACAAATACTACGGCTCAGTGCTACAGTACGGGGCTTGATGAAGACAAGAAAGGGAAAGGGAAGACATTTTGCTGTGGATGATCCAAGCTAAATATCTAAGAAGGAGTCAGTCCTGGAAGTAAGGGGCGGGGCAAAGCTTCAGTGAACAAAAACAATATGCGCAGATAGACGCAGGTGCATGCAAGAACATGGTAGGTACAAAAAGTGAAAATATGTTTTGTAAGGCAAATTTAAGTTTTTCCGTAGCAAAATCAGAGAAAATGAATGTTAGTAAAGATTACTGCCACGACTTGTAAGGCCTGTGGCGTCCTGAGAGGGGGCGACGGAGATTAAGAAAAGACAAGGCACATAATAAAAGGAAAGATGGCACCAGGTGGGACACAACGTCTCTGATGGACAGGCAGTGATGCTGTTCCGGCCCCACCATCTTTATTCATACCGAGTAAAAACGGGGAAAGTATGTGACAAGGTTAAAAGTACAAGGTCCCTGTTTTGCTGAGAAGATGGAAAGCTGAACATCTGCAGAGCTCTCTGTGCTGTAGTTCACAGGGAGGAATGCCAAGGTTGGAAACCTGCTGATATATAACTAAGCTAGAGGTCAACTTGTTTGTACAGCCTGCCTCTGGCAGCCCATGTCCCCAGGACTGGCTTTGCTCTAGTCCCAACAACTTGTTCACATGGCTCGCCTCCGGCACTCCATGTTCTCGGAGCTGGCCTTGCTCTAGCCCTGAATGAGTCGTCGATCTCCAGCTCAGCTGCTCCCCACAGATTATTACACCATCTTAAATCACTGTGCACCATCTCCAGAGCAAGAGAAATTTAAAAATTTTAATTGAGAATAGTTAGGCTCCAGTAAATTTTATGCATGCCCAACATTTTCCCAGCTCATAATCTCTACAATTTTCTCTTATATGCAAGCTTCCTATTTTCATAATTTTTTTAGTTTTTAGGTTAAATCTAACGAATTTTAATCTATGATTAATATCAGGTGGCAATTCTGGACTGTAAAATTTTATCAACTATTACAAAATTAAAACATTTCATGATCCATTGTGCCATCTGAAAAAAACCATCAATGAAGCATGGAAGATATAATTCTGTGACTAATCTAATCATCCAATTTCATAAGCAATTAATAACACCATAATTAATAATTTTAACATTTTGGTCTGAAACAAGGGATGTATGAAGAGTATCTTGACATCAAAAGAGATGTACTTTAAGATCTATGCGAATGTTAAACTAACTTAAAGTATATAATTTCTGTAATAAAATAAACATAACAGAATGTTGAGTGAACATAAAAAGCAATAATGGGAATCACATGTACACATTACATTAAGTAGAAAACACTTTCATTTCAATGTACAATAGATACTAAACTAGTATCACTGGTTAAGTGACTCAGACCTGCAAAAAACATCTCTAAGGGTGGAATAAACCTGATTTATGCTTCAGCAAAATTAAAAATTAACACAGACTATGATCTTTGGCATTGTCTGAGACCACCTGAAATAATCAAAGTTACATCTGAAAATACCAGAAAACTATAATACTGTACTAAAACAAATTTTTCAGAACTGAGCTGAACTGAGAATGTGTTTAAAAATTTCCACAGTTAAGCAATTAGTTCCTTACTTACTCACTTATATATTTTTCCCAAGTTAACTTCACACTCCACAAAGACTACACTATCAATCTACCTTGGAGGGTAAAACTATTATCTTTCTAACATAGATACAAAAAGAAAACCAAGTGGCCTCTTTTTAAGAAGGTAAATATATTGTAAAATATGAGGAGGTAGGTAGCCTCTAATGATTTTCTAGCTCCAAAAGAAGGGCAACTTACTAAAAGCATTATAGTAAATGTTCATTTCCCATAACTAACTTATTAAACTGAATAAAATATTTCAAATAATGATATCTACCTTTATTAACAAAGTGTACTGTTATTAACAAATGAGATTAAATCAGAAAATTATGACAGGTGATATGCTAATTATGAAAAATTATTAAAATTACCTACTTGGGGGATATAGCTCAGCCACACAAGCATCTGCCTGACAAGCAAGGGTCCCGAGTTCGATTCCCGGTACCAAAAAAAAAAATAAAATTCCCTATTTGGTAAAATATTGAGTATCAAAACTTATACTCACATCTGGTGGTGGTTCCTGATCATTCTTCCATGATGCATCTGAGCCCCTATCCCTATAAACAAATGAGTCAAAAAATGGTTTATTTGTTTTATTTATTTATTTATTTATTTATTTAGAGACAGGGTCTTGCTATGTAGTTCAGATTAGCCTTGAACTCTTATGTAGTGTCCAGGCTGGCCTCAAACTCACAGCAATCCTCCTGCCTCAGCCTCCCAAGTTCTAGGATGATAGTCGTGTACCACCATGCCTGGCCTCAAAGAAGGGTTTATGGATAAGACTCTGTTAAGTGCTTAGAACAGTATGGAAAATACTAAAGTAGAAGACAGGAGTTCAATCTTTAATTTTGCAATGTATATGAAACTACAAATATATTAAAAAGTAAAAGCATATGTGCTTTTTCTAGCAAAAGATAACAGACCATTTCTAGGTTCTTTACCTTATATGAAGTGAGGTGCTCATGGATACATGTAACTATTAGGACTACGAACTGAAGATGTGAATCCAAGGCTGCAGTATACAGACAGAAGTGCTCTTGCACTTCTACATCCTACACTTTCCTGATACCTGAAGTGTGCATGAAACTGAGTTTAACAAATAAATGTTTGTTCAACATCAACTATATATGAGATTCTGGAGTTTACAGACCTACTAGACAATTTAATTACTAGTGCACCATAAGAAATCAAAATCCACTAACGATCAAATAAAATTCCATGAAGTACTTTTAACAAAGCAGTATGTACAGTATATGTGAAGCTGAGATTAAAAGAGCTTTAATTGGCTGGTGAGCACAAATGGAGCTAAACTGCTCCACCTCAAAGGCAAAGCATTATGCAGTACAGAGGCGGTCCTTGTTTAACTACTGAGTTAGGCTCCCGTGGCTGGGTGGTTAAATGAAAAGGTCACTAAGTGAGGAACTGTATACTGTATGTACATTACCATATTCAAAACAAAGAAATGCTCAAAGGAAACCTCAACCTGACGACTTTTGTATTGTGCCAAAAAAAACCACCACTGAAGCCCTATAAACAAGACATACAGAACTGTAAAAAAGAAAACACAGGTTGTAGGTCTGAACTGTGTGCCTTGGTTTTAGGTCCAAACAGTCCTTAAACTGCTGGGCCACTAAATGGGGAATATTTGTGGTAAATTCCCATAACAGAGCCCCAAGTGCATGGTCAGGAAGTACTCTGGAAGGATGGCCTAACTTCTCAGTCCTTTGCTTTATTTTCACTTCTTTCCATGTGAAGTTCAAATCAAGAAAAGACCGCATTTATTATCTAAAATGTATTTAATAAATACTTTCAGAACACCCTTTCAGTTATCTGTTTTAAGCTATTTTATTGAAGCTAAATATAAGATATACCCACAGCAACATCTTAAAATTCAAAGCAAAATGAAATGTTATTTAAGGCATCATCCTAAAACATTTTAAAATCTTTATGACTTTTATGTTTATTTTTATCAGCAGTTAAAAAAATAAACCTTATGGAGTTTAAATAATAATGTAAATGTTTGCTGTCTATAAAATCTGATAATTTATAGCTTTCCGAGTTTCAGCAGAAAGACCAATGAAGTCCCTGGAAGACAGACCATTTCACTAGAACAAAGTATCAATGAGAATTACTCTTAAAATATAAAACATAAGGCAAAGATCTCATATGTCAACAAAGTACTTACTGTTTAAGTTTGTCTGTGAAAACATACTGGGTAAAATCTTTCGTGGATGGAGCAAAATACATAATCTCCTTTATTTTAATACCTTTTCTTTCAATGTGGTCTGAAGAATTAAACCTCAACACATAAAATGGATGTGCAACAGGTCCAAAAATTTCAAATATCTGTAAAACAGGAGAAATATAAAGACTTCTTTTAACATGTAAAACAATGATTTGGAAGTTAGCAATATGTAAAAACCACCACTGATAATTGCTAAAAGAAGGCGATTTTGTCATTGTTAGAGCAATAAATTATTTATTTTTAACCCCCACAGTGGTAACACCTTTTGTGACACTGAGAATCAAACCCAGGGTGTTTGCACTAAGCTACATCCCAGCCCGTTTTTATTTTTTATTTTGTATCACTGTGGTTAATTAATTCTGTTGACAGTGAGGAAAAGAGGAAAAAGGATGTATAAAAGTTTACTATTGCGGAGGTAAAACTAGTGTCTCAGTTAGATATGCTCATGGTCTAAAAGGGCTTCAATTTCATGTTCTTATCAGTGGTTGGTTTTATAGATACTCTCTAAACCTGTCCCTTCCCCAATTTGAGGAATTATTTCAAAGTGCTTAGATTTATAATTATGTATTTTTGAAACACCTGAATTTACTAAGCTCTCTTAAGTGATATAATATTCACTTCTATCTAGGATTATGCCATATAGCTAGAGCTAGAGGTGTAAATATTACATATTTACGTGCTGCCTTTCAAACACAAAAGACAGAAGAGCTAGCTATTATTAGTCATAATTATAGGTCTGAAAATTTCAAATAAAGCACATGAGGAATATAAAAATGTCTGTTTAGAGGCTTCAATTAGCAAAGTGTTGGGTATTCTGAAATTAAAAACCATAAATGAGCTATTAAGAGTAGGCAACAGTCAGGGGCTGGGGATTTAGCTCAGCGGCAAAAGCGCCTGCTTGGCAAGCGCAAGGTCGTGAGTTCGGTTCCTGGTACCGGAGAAAAACCAAAAAAAAAAAAAAAAAAGAGTAGGCAACAGTCATGAAAAACACAAGCAAAAATTAAGGAAAAAAAATCAGGTTTTTCACATTCAGAGAATCAAGAAATATGTTTTCCTTGCCACTTCTCTGCTATTACTTTCTTGAGGACGAGACATGTTTTGTTTTTTCCAAGACAGAGATTGGTTTCTTAAGAAAGGAGGCCAGATCAGAGCAGCTACTCACAGCATATTCAGACACTCATTTCCTTTTCCTTTCTTCTCGATCCTTAATAGGATTAAGGCCCTACTGTTATCTCTTAACCCCTTACAAAGACACCAGCAGTACATACTGAAGTTTGTACACTATAGAACTCTTCCTGTTAAAAGTTCTGAGACTTGCCTAAGTAACTGAAAGGGGAAAAAAAAAAACACAGCACCATCCTTTAGACACTACAAGTCTTCTTTTCCTTCATGACCTTTTGCAAAAAATTGCAAAAAAATATTATCTCTTGACTCCAGTGAACTTTGGTACCAGCTTTGTAAAAGGGTGACCCACTATTTTGTTAAATTGGCCCATCAACCTATAAAACATATGGAGACGGTAAAAGTGGCAGGACTGATAAAAACCTGGCCTGTTTCTGAGTCAGAAAGCTAGGCGTGATGGTGCACACCTGGAATCCCAGGACACGGGGGAGGTGAGGAAGGATGATGGCCACAAGTTTGAGGCCAGCCTGGGCTACATAATGAATTCAAAGCCAGCCTAAACTACACAGGATGAGACTCTGTTTCAAAAAAAAAAAAAAAAAAAGAAATCTTGCTCATGAATCATACAAGAGTGCAGCAGTAGGAAAAAGTGGAGAAAAGGCAAAGTTAGGTGTGAAAATCTCATAATATACTTTACATATTTGCTTTTTCCTGATTTAACATGAATCACTTACATCTGCTGGAACAGACTGTATAATGTACAGCGGGGAATGCAGAGGTTAATAAAACTATCCTATTTGCCATGAAATGAACACTTGGTTAGTACTTATGTTCTTGATTTTGGAAGGTTTTACATACTTCGTTGTTCAGGATTGCCTACTTGCTAGGTAGGCAATCTTCTCTTCTACACTAAAGATAAATGTGTAGGGCTGTTCCACTAGGAAGATGTTAAAAGGGACTCAAGCATATGCTGGTTCCACGTTCCTAAGTCCTTAGCTTGTGCTTACAGTGATGTCTCCCTCCTGTCATCAAAATCTTTTCCCACCTGGAAGATTCCACTTTGAGTTTCCATCGGAGGAAGCCAAGTCTAAAAAGTGTGAGAGCCACTACTAACAGGGGCTCACAAATCAAAAATGGTTAAGAACTACTGTATTACTCACAGAAAATCTTTACTCAGCTCCAAATGCTGGCAGGAGAGAACTATGTCTTATTCAGTAAGTAGACCTACCACCTAGCAAAGTGCCTAGTAAACATTAGCAGCCAATTGTACATACATATATAATGATTTATATGTGAAAGATGAACAAACAATATTTAACCAATTTAGAGACAGCCAGTAATGAAGAAATTTTAACAGTGTGTTAAAAGTTGAGCTCTAGATTGCTAATGTAGCAAAATTAATAAACCCTGCTTAGGACTAACAGGGAAAGTCAAAAACATCAACCAAAGACATACAATAATTTTTACCATTTGAGTTTTTTAACAAACCTTTCCTGCTGCTTGTCGATCACTTCTAAAAATTACAGTCTCCTCATTAACTGGAGGTAGGTTACTCATAGATTCAATTATTACTGAAAAAGTAAAGAAACAAATGTTACTTCAAGAGTTCATCAGAACATAATATAGAAATACGAAAATTTAGGCTTAATCCCAACATAATTTGAAATAAAATTTGATGAAGAGAAAATATCTCAGTAACTATTCCTCTTCAATGAAAAAAAATTATCAAATAGCACAGGGAAATGGTTTATAAATATTTTAATACAGAAAGCTACAAATTCCAAGAAAAATATTAAACTATAAAACAAAATTCAAGTCACCATTTAAAGTATCTTAACATTTGAGCCATATGTATTTCTGAAGCAATTTTACCAACAGTAGTATCACATTTAATAACAACATTCCCATTCTGTAAGTTAGTCTTGTTTCTCACTCTAGTTCTTTCCTATAAAGTACTGATTATTTCTGAGTAATGAAACAGTTAAATTAATGCTTAATAAAACATTTTATTAGTGTTAATTAAACATTTATTAGTAGTGACAGACTTCACAGTAATTCTTATAATTATATTTAACTTCCCTCCTTAAAAGGCAAGAAAGTATTTTCCCTCGGGGTTAGCGTAGTCTCCAACTCTTCTAAGTGTCACAAGTGCTAATCTACTACTGCAAAGACACCCACACACACACTCAAAGTTCTTAAACAATTAGCAACAAGCAGGAATCCTGCTAAACAGATAATGCCATGTCAACCTGGGGAATGAAATACATGCATTAGCTCAGATTTATTCCAATTAATTTCTACAGCTTATGCTTCTTAGTGCTAAACATACATATAAGTAACAGATCAGGGGTCAATATTTTTTTAATCAAAATCTGTTTCTGAAATAAGGTTGGTAAATAAAGATTAATAATGACAATAGAGTAAAAATTCATTTGTAATCATGACCTCTTCCTAATTCACTTCTCTAAAAATCAAATTACTGAAAACTATGATTACCTAATCCAATGCCCCTATCTTATAGAAAGATTTAAAGGACTCACGATGTCAGCACTAGCACACAGCATCAGAGCCCTGATCTTGAGTTCTAATGCTCTCCACACCACACTATGCCTCTCTTCCTACAGACCCATTCTCTTGTGATGATGATTCCGGGCAGCAGTCATTATCAGGAGTTGTGTCTAAATAAAGCTAAAGAGTCTGTAGCATATATTGACAAAAACTGTCAAAAGCTCTCAAACTCATACTCTGAAAGCATGCACCAGGACGTGGTGGCGAAGCTATGGCACCTGCGCCACAGCAGGCTGTACCGCTGAAAGCTCTAAAGGTTAGCCATCACTGCACTAGGACAAGATCATGAATTCTGCGGTATTTCTCAGCTTCTATTTTGATGGGTAATAACTAACTAGCCTCTTGTATTTTCCAAACTAAAGCAAAACAAATAAAAACACAGGATGGCATGTAGAACTACAGAGTACAATGCCAAACGTGCATTTTTTGTCTTAAAATTCTTATTTGAAGTCACAGATTTTTTGTTTGTTTGTTTGTTTTTTGGGTTTTCTCCGGTACCGGGAATCGAACTCACGACCTTGCGCATGCCAGGCAGGCGCTTTTGCCGCTGAGCTAAATCCCCAGCCCCTGAAGTCACAGATTTTTTATGCCTAATGTACTAGTATTTATTCTTTTTTGTAATTTGGTTAAAATGATGTTACAGTTTATGCTTTCAAAATACAATAGTATATGATAGTAGCACATACTGATTTTGATTTTTCTTTTCTCTTTATTACTCCCAGGTTAGAATTTTGGGAGTAAGGTTAGCTTTTTATAGCATATTAGTCATAATAGTATCGTTAAAAAGCATTATTCCAAGTGTCACGTAATTGACATCTATTTCCTTGAAGATCAGTATTACGACCTACAATTTATCTGTATACACCAAATCTAACAAATACTCCATTGATATAACTAAGCCATAGTTATCTGTTTGATTTGTCTATGCATATTATTAAATGCCATGAAGAAATTTAAGTACTAAGAAATGTGATAACCTGGAAATGATGTTGTTTCAATAAGCAGGATTTTTGTAAGACATTTCACTTTAATTTACATTTTAACTAAAATGTATAAATTACAAAATTATGGTAAGCACTAATTTTTTTAAAAATACTGACATGAACACCATTAGGAAAGATAAAAAGATAAAGTCCTATTTCAACCAATGACTCATATAACTGATCACAGAATAAATGACTTGAATTCTTCTGTGTTGTTAGGGTCTGCAAACTAAGAGGGCTCATGAACAATTTAGCTCCTTTTCCTCATTCAAAAGTCCTATGACTCTATCAGCTTCATTCTCAGCTGTATCTTACTATGGGAGCTAATGGTACCCACATTAATGTTAAGGCCTCTCACATAACTAAACCTAAGAAATCTAAAATAACCAGTCATCTCCGTATCATGTTATTAATTAAATCAAAAAACTTCCTGATTTATGTGTTTATAAGAGAAAATCAAATATGACAAATAGAACGGCCCCTCCAACAATATCTACACTCTAATCCCTGACATGTGAATGTCATCTTACATTTTAAAAGAAACACTGCCGATTGCTAAGGTTAAAAACCCTGTGATGGAAGAAACTGCTTAATCTAGGAGTCCTTAAAAGCAGAAAATTTTCCAGCATTTTCAGAAGGAGATGCAATAAAAAAGGGTCCAAGAGAAATGTTACATTACTGGTTTTAAAGATGAAGGCAGGCAGCCAGGAGCCAAGAAGTGTGGGCAGGGTTTAGAATAAAACAGGAACAAGGAAATGGATTCTCCCAAGAGCCCACAAAAAGGAGCTTAGCCCTGCTGGAGACCTTGATTTTAGCCCACTGAGATCCAAAGACCCGTATCAGACTTGCAGTCTACAGAACCGTAAGGTAATAAATTTGTGCTACTGCAGGTCACTAAATCTGTGGTCATGTTTTAACAGCAATACAAAACTAATAAAGAAAATTCTGAAGACGTCAGTATAAACAAACTTCTCACTTTTATATAGAAACTATGTATTATATGTAAGTAAAAATTGAAGTTTATTCCTTCAAGCTTAATTACTGTAAAATGAAGTGTTATTACATATTTCAAAGGTAATAACTAGTCATAAAGACCTTAACTTGATTATTAGTTCATGCTTGGACATACCAATTTTTGTTAATGATGCTATTTACATACCTAATTGTTCAATAATACTTGAAACCATCCCAAAGGGCTTTAATTCAATATCTTCAGGCAAAATAACAGTGAGTTCTTCAACAGAAGGTAGTTCCTATAATATAAAAAAGTATTAATCTTCCTCTAGCTTAGATCTAATTTAATTTAATTTTTATTTTTAAGTACCAGAAATCTAACTCAGGACCTTGCACTTGCCAGGCAGGTGCTGTGCCACTAAGCTACATCCCCTGCCCTTAGGTTCAATTTTAAAAGTGACAATTATTTTCTATTTGATGTGCTAAATGCTTAAAACATGTCTTTAACAGTATCCTTTCTAGTAGCTACAGACTTCTGATAGCAATTCTCCCACTTCAATGACTTAATGGACAGATGTAGAACACACACGCTAAATTCAGTTAGACTAAGAATACAGACCCAAGTACCATTCTAGGTATTTTCCAGTCACAGTATGACAAGATACTCTCCTCCCTTTTTAAGGGAAAAATTAAGGAATCCAGAGAGATCCCACTTGGAGAGAAGTAATTCTACTGGTAAGGGCAATTCCTCCTGAGGAGAGTTCTTTCTCTGAACTGCATTGCTAATCAGTTAATTAATTCATTGTGATTAAATAGAATACCCAAGCAGCAATCTTTTCTGCGGTTTTGTGAAGATGTTAAGTTTGGCCTCTTCAGGAAAAAGGCAATGGCACCTTTTATCAAACACAGAACTAGGAACAGAATGCAGCATGTAAAAGCATGAAGGTGTGACCTGATACTTCCTCTCTTTACCTTTCCCTTTCTTTGACTATAGATTTCCCTTTCTTTGACTGAGTTATAAACTGCATCTCAGTTGCTACATAGAAACTACATATTAAAGCAGAGACGAGAAATCTAAGAATAGAACTGTCCTTCGCCTTTAGATTCAATAAACAGCTTTCTGTCCTTGACCCACGCCAAATGATATTACCTCTTAAAAGGAAGTTCTTCCTGAAGAAGGCCAAAGGCGCAAGGACCCTGCCAGTGGCACATCGGAAGTTAATTTCAGAGGATAACTTTTGTTATCAGTCTATGTATCTTTACCTATGCAGATATAAACTTCACATTTCTAATTTGAAAATACTAAGTGTTCACATTTAATGCTACCCTTCTCATGCTTATCATATCCCCATCTTTCTACATCAAAACATAAAAATCGGTAAATTTTTATTTAACATTGTATTCTGCTGTACAATTGTACCATGATGTAACACAGCAACACCTGATACATGTAGTGGCCCTTTTTGAATTTTTACCATTACACACAACAACATATGTAAGAATATTTACCGTAACTTCTGTGATAAATTATTTAAGTGGACCTACTAAACAAGTACAAATATTTCACACTTGAGAAATACTGCTGTTTATTTTCAAAATACTATCATTTCAATCTTCCACAAATGATGTATGAGACTATGTCACACCCTGCCATTACTGAGAAATAAGCTAAAATCTCTGCCACTCTGACAAATATAAAATAGTATCTTTTTTTAATCTGAACTTCCTCCTCACTAAGAAGAAAAACTGGACATCACTGCACATTTCCAGGCCACTTATACATGTTTATGAACTGTACATTTTTTGTGCTTATATTTTAGAAAGTTTATTAATTTGTAAGTCAACTTTGGATTTTTAAGGAATTTTTGGGGGGGACACAAGGAATTAAACTCAGTACCTTGGCGCTTGCCAGGTAGGCACTTATGTCACTGAGCTATATTCCTGGCCTTCTTAAGGAAATTTGTCTTCACCAAACATGCAGCAAATGTCTTCTACCACCCCATCACTTTTTGTTTTTAGTATTTAAATTGATTTAATGAAACTTGGTTCTAATCAAATATATCCATGCTTTATTTGGGCTTTGGAAAATTCCACTGTTATATTTACATAAATGATAGTTGTGAGATTATTTAAAACATTCTCTACTGTTTTCGTCATTTCTCTAGTTTCATTTTTAATATCTGCATGTTTGGGCCACTCACAATTTTATTCTTGTATGAAAATAAGGCAGAGATTAGCTTTATCTCTATCTAAATTAATTAGCCAATAATCCCCACAGGTTGTAGACCACTCTGCCTTTCCTCCTATCATCCTGTAAACCAAGCTTTAACAGGTACTAAATGTACTTACACACTCATATTTTTGGTTTTTTTTTACCAAAATCTCCATTTGGCTTAATTGATCTATGTCACTGTCAGAACTAAATCAGTTTAACATGTGAGGCTTTCACATGTTTCAGCAATATTTGGGAAAAAAGGCTAGTTCCCCTACTGAATCCATCGATATTTTTCTCTTTAGAACTCTTTTTACTATACTCACTTTTATTTTACTAGATAAAACGTTAGAAACACTACATTGTATTCATGCTGTTAGGATTGATCAAGATCACATTATATTTGTCTCTGCATAGATCTTACAAAGCATTTCAAGCTATCGTATATATTCAGCTGATTTCAAGCTATTTCCCACATTACTTGCTATTATAAATGGATTGTAAGGAATTATTTGAACAAAAGAAAACATGCTGAAATTGACTGCTAGTGATTTGTATGTTCAGTATATAATCATATTTTCAAATAATAAGCCATCCTTTTCAGCAGTAGTACATCATACTTTTCACTACTGAAATGATATTGGCTGGTATTTCCAGAAATTTCATGCATCAAGCAACTGTGATGACAGTAGGCATGAAGTCTAATTCTATCAGTAATGTTGCAAATGTTAAGCATAATAATGCATTTTGACTGGAATTATTTTAATAGGGTTACAAAGTGTAAATCTATTCCTATATGGTTTTTAAAACCAGAAATGACTAGAGAACTCTATCAAATGTTTTTTCATCATTTTGAGATCATTATATGAGGCTAACTTTCTGTGGGTTGAGCAAGCTCAGTCTACAGGGTCTGATGCAGTCCCAATGGTCTGCTCTAAGGAGGATGTGCATAAGGAAAAAAATAAAGTATTTGTCCCCAAAATACTTGTAGTAAGGCAGGCATTCACTCTTAATGTCAGACAGTATTTGTCAGGCCCCCTTAATTCCTGTTGCTATCTGGTTTCTGATCTATGTATTAGAAGAATGAAAAATTGTGGCCACAAATGGAGAAGATTTCTGATACTGTGTAGAAACAAATTCAGAGAAAAAACTGACATCGCTATCTATGATCACATTATATAGTACTTCCAATTCTTGTTCACTAGTCCTAACCTGCACCATAGGAACTTACAGTTTCAAAAGACCAGTGAAAGCATTCGGCTGCATCTTGATAATAAAAACCTACCTACAGAAGTGATGGATGTAAGATACCAATTCAAAACATTCTGCAGAACACAGGAGATATATAATGGACTAAATACTGCATACAAAACAAACAAGAGGTAAGTAAATGAAACCAGCCTTGTACAGTTCCAAGGTGGGAGCCTTCAGTTCACCTCAGAAACACCAGTTAGGTTGAGAAGCACATACTTGCTATGAAAATGGCAGGTGTTTGGGGCACCGAATCAAGGGAATGTAGAGCATTTGTTTCCTTTAAATGAGCATGGGAGGAGAGGACAACAAAGCAGGAAAAACATTCCAAACTCTGTTGACAAGAACTCACCCAAGAGACGTGCTTTCCAAGAAGCAACACCTGAAAGGTTCAGTGGGGGACAGACTTCTCAAAGATTTGAAAACCAAGTTCCTCAGATCACCTTGTCAGATGGGGCAGTAAGATCCTGCCTTGCTCTTTAGATGTGAAATGCTGCCACTTCTTTCCAAATTGCTAAATCAAAAAAGTGTCACACCACTATCAAGCCTATTAAATTCTTCACCAAATTATCTCCTTCAAATAATATTATTGTGTAATAACTGTTTACTTCCTTGCTTATTGTCCACTTTCCAAAATGGACAGACAATAAAGCTGGTAATAAGCAGAAGCTAGCCAGCCATGCTCATTGCTGCGCACCCAGAAGGAAGGCTAGCGTCAAGCTGGTGCTCATTATGTATTTATGAAATGAATGAGCCCACCTTATCCGAGAGCTAACCAAAAATCTCCCAAGTCAAAGTCTTTTAGTGAAAGAAGAAATCAGATCATGAAAATATAATTAAATACAGAATAGTCACAGAATGAGAAAGACCTGAACCCAAGCTTCCCAAAAAGAAAATTAAAAAGTAATTCATAAAGTAATTAGTCTTCAAAGGAACCTTAAGTCCTTAGGACTGATGCATAGGTAGCCCTGATTTATAGTAGCAAACACTATTACAATGATTATATTAACTCCTGGCTCCCTGATAACACAGCAGCCCCTTGTAAGATATTAAGTAAACTCAGCTGCATAATCTGCTCTACAGGGAAAAAAACAAAAACATAAACATAATCACTTCAGATTTTTTTTCTGTTTTTTGAGTCTGAGTAGATGATTCTGAGGAGACAGTTTCCTCACAGAGTCTCTAGACTGCCCAGGCTGGACTTGAACTTGCAGTCCTCCTGCCTTAGCTTCCCAGCATGCTGGATTACAGGTACGCAACATCAAGGCTTCTATCACTTTGTTTTTTTATGTGTGGGGAAAGGGTAGGTACACATGATAAAGGAGAGAAACATACAGATACCAGTAAAGGAAAAAAAATGGCCAGGACACATACTGAAGGGCATCATCATTTTGACACTGTACATGGGATTTGAAAAATCAAAAGGAAAAGGCATACTAAGAAACCAAGAAACAAAAGTGGAGATAATGATGAAGACTGAAAAAGAAGTGTCTTCATCACATGATAAGCAAAATCCATGTGTACTAAAAATTAAAGATAAGACTAATGCACGTTAGGAAGACTAAGGTGTGAGCCTGGATTACCTTGTCAAGAAGGATGAGCAATGGGCAGACAGCTTGCATTTTAGAGACCCCATACAAGACAATAACGACATTAAATTAACTGAAATGAAATAAAATAAAAAAAATTCAGCCTCCTTATACTTGCCACATTAAAAATGCTCCACACCTTGAGTTTTAAAGACAACATGGATATAAAACATTCTCATTACTGCTCAATGTTTACGGGCTCAGAAAGATGGACGGGGCAACACCGACATTCTCACTCATCAAAAGA